AACTTGTCTCATCTTTGCCATGGAAAAGTGTCTATATTTGTCGTCATATGACATTTCATTTGCTTCACCACCTTGTGGTTGGTTTAAGTCTCTTAACATTTTTATACATCCGTCAATGACACCAAGAGCAGAATGGTTTTGGTCGACAATGAAATATTGGTTTACATTTTTTGAACGCAGATAGTTTTTTACATCATCTGATTTGAAAGAACTTTCACAGTCAGATGTCAGTTTTGTTGGATGGTATTTGTCAACGAATATTGTCAAAGCTGCTAAGATATCTAAAATATTTTTGGACTGTAATGGTATGGCTTCACAGTATCTTGTGTTTTGACCAACAAATATTAGCCAGTATGGTGGTCCATCTTCTCTATACCTCGGAATGTTTTCCAAGATATCCATAAACCAAGCATTTGGTGTTGAACTAAAGATTTTTACCATGAGTGCTTTCTTTGTTGCCTTAGAAACATAGGGGTCCTTGTTCGGATTCGTCATTTTTTACCCTATAAGAAATGGGTTTATTTGGCGCATTAGCAGGAGTCGCATCCAGATTTTTACCCGCAGTGGGAACAATAGCCAGAGGTGTATTTGGAGTTGGAAGGAAGATTTTGAGTACATTAGGTATACTTAAAGAGAAAGCACAACCTATTATACAAACTGTACAGAAAGGTTGGGATGTAGCACGAGATGCAACAAATCTTATTCCAAATCCTGAAACAAGAGGAAAAGTTCAAGGATGGATGGACAATGTAGGAAGACAAGCAGGAAACTATTATAACAAAGCAAATGACTACTATAACCAAGCAGGACACTATATGGACCAAGGTGAAAGATTCTTTAACAGAGGATATAACCATGCACAACAGTGGGTAAACAATAACCAACCTCAACCGCCTCAAACGTGGGGAATGTAAAGTTTTTTACTGAGATGAAATGAACAATACAGCATTGAGACAAATGGGTTCAAGATGGATTTGTCGGCTTCCAGCAGTTACACAACGTGTTTGTCAAGTTCTTCCTATACCTCAGGAAGTTTTAGACCGACTTAAAAAACAACAACAACCAGTTGAAAACAAACCAAACTAAAATTTTTTACTGAGATGAAATGACCGAAGAAGTTGAAACGGTAGATTTGACACCACAAACAAAAAGTTCAGAACCATTGTCAAAACCTGTCAAAGAACTTACAGATGAAGAGAAAAATTCAATAATAGAAAGTGCCAGGTCTGGAAATACAAACCCTAACTACAAAGTCACTTTTCATAGAAATGGAACGGCTAGTATCTCAAAAAAGAAACAGACTCTCACAAATAAAATATTGAAGTCTGAAGGAGCTTTCGAGACAACAGATGGAAAAGTTTACTTCACTGACCAACAGTTCATTATAGAACATCTCATTGACTTAGAGTCGAAATATTCTAAACTTTACAACAAACACAAAAAGTTGAAAGGAAAACAAAAACAAATGGCATATGATATTTATGAAGATGTTGACGACACAACTGTTCCTGCAGGTGAGGTAAAGTCAGAGGAACCGAAAAGTGACGAAAAACCGATAGAAGAAGAGAAACCAAAAACTGAAGATAAACCAAAACCAAAGTTTAGTTTGGAAACTAAACCAAGTCAACCTTCATTAGCTGGTATGGGTTGGCGTCAAAGACTTATGGCAGCAGGCGGTTATGTTAAGTAAAGAAAAAAACATTTTTTTATTTTTATTTGAAATGTACGCTGAGTTTGTTGGAGAAGACCGTTGGGAAACTTGTTTGTTAGATGAGAAATATGAAATGGCATACCATTTTAAAACAATATATTTTTAAAAAAGTGACATTTTTTATTTTATTTGAAATGTACGCTGAGTTTGTTGGAGAAAACCGTTGGGAAACTTGTTTGTTAGATGAGAAATATGAAATTCACTGTTGTGAGTCATTTGAAGTCAGAAACAAAAAGACAAAAAGAGTTTTAAGCGAATGGGAGCGAAATAACGGATATGCTGTTATGAAGATGGGTGGAAAACACTATCTTAAACATGTTGTCATTGCAACTCATTTTATACTGAATCCTAACAATTTACCTTTTGTAGACCATATAAACCATATAAGAAACGACAATAGACTTGAAAACTTACGTTGGGTCACTCGTTCTGAAAACAATAAGAACAAAGGCAAATTTAGAGATATTGTATTCGAATTTGTCGACGAACTAGAAGATGAAACAATTGAAATTACAGACTATGGCAAGCATACGTTTGAGTTTTACTACTATAGCGAAGAACAAGACTCTTTCTACTTTTATACCGGCGTAAACTATAGGAAATTACAAGTATATTTTACTAAGGCGGGCTATGCTTATGTAAACACTAGAGATACAGATGGAAAAAACGTTCAAATACTTCTTAACAAATTCAAGAAGCTATATGGCATACCATTTTAAAACAATATATTTTTACATATATTAAATGCTTCAGGTTGAAAAACAAAGAACAAAAGTAGCAGATACAAAACCGTTAGACTATATCTTTACAAATGCTGGTAGGACTATTTCAGATGAAGAAATTTCATCCCGAATATACAGGTTTGACTATCCAATTCGTTGGCTTCAAAGTCCTTCAGATGCAAAGGCAATAGGATTTAGAAGAGTTTTGTTTTCAAATAGAACTAACGCATTTATGTTCGTAGTATATTTTCATGGGCAGTATAAAGGTTCTGATGGTCTAATAGACAAATTTGACGAAATGAGAATCTTTACAGTTCGTTCAGACGAAAGTCTTGAGAAAACTCTAAATGACTTTCAAACTCAAATGAACAAATATTATTGGGAATTTCAAGAAAAATACGACTCTTTACTAAATGGAACATACTATCTGAAACTAGAATATGACAAGATGAACTCCACCGTTTCATTTCAAAAGATTGAAATTAACCCTCCAAGAGATACAGAGTTTTTATTTTGGGAAGTAGACAAACGTTCTTGGGCACAATTTCTTCGGTTACTAAACCAGAACGAACCATTACCACCAGATGGTCCATTTAAATTTATACTTCCACCAGCAGATTTGACAGTTTATAGAAACGTGTTTGACCCTCAAAATGTTATGTGTCATGCAAGTTTCAGTTCAAGCAACAATAGTTTTCTATGTATTGGTAAGGACTTTTATGACTTTGCTTCTAAATTCTACGAACCACCTAGTAACAGTTTCTCTGACTTTCAAGTTTGGTTCACAACAAATGGTGTGCAACATATTATTCCATTGTACTATGACTTTTATCTCGAATTGTCTTTCATATATAACTACGGAAAAGTGCTGAAAAAGTATTGAAAAATAATGTTTATGTTAGCATGTTAGATCTAACACGTTTTCTAACATTTTTTCAAACATCGTAGAAAACTCATGAAAACAATACTTGCACTGTTTCAGAACTAGTCTTGTACTTTTTCAGAACAATACTTGTACTGTTTCAGAACAATACTTGTACTTTTTCAGAACAATACTTGTACTGTTTCAGAACAATACTTGTACTTTTTCAGAACAAGACTTGTACTTTTTCAGAACAAATTTCCCGTAAAAGATCTCAATTTGTGAGAAAAATTTTCTGTTTCAGAACAATATTTGTACTGTTTCAGAACAATATTTGTACTGTTTCAGAACAATACTTGTACTTTTTCAGAACAATACTTGTACTGTTTCAGAACAATATTTGTACTGTTTCAAGACAATATTTGTACTGTTTCAAGACAATATTTGTACTGTTTCAGAACAATACTTGTACTGCTTCAAGTACCAACCACCCAAAACCTCTTGAATTTTCATGACTTCTTCGAAAATGTTTTGTCAAGACTTCTTCGTATATGCTTTGTCATGACTTCTTCGTAATGAGTGTAAAGGACCCAAAAATAATGTTTAGGTGAAGAGGTGAGATCTCACCTGTTTTTTCACCTCTTTTTTCACCTCTTGAATTTGTCATGAATTTCCTTAAGATAGAAAAAATAAAGTTAGTTTTATTTTTTTATTTTTTTTTATTTTGTATGTAAGAACATTAATGTCAGTCGAAGCAAAAACGTTCACGAACAAATCTAATGGCGAAACATTCACAAAAGGCACTTATAACGGTATTGAAGTCTTACGTAGAGACAAGGATGGTTATATAAATGCAACAAATATGTGTCAGCAGTTTAGGAAAGACTTTAGAAAGTTGTTGGAAAATAAGTCCTGGGAAGAGTATTATAAGGCATTTTGTGAAGAATATAGCAACCGCCGGAATTCAGACGGTTGCTTTTTATACAAAATTCATGCCGGAATTCCTGATGAAATCAAACAGGTTAGAGGAACGTATGTAGACCCAAGACTTATAAACTATATAGCAATGTGGGCTTCTCCAAAATATTGCATAGCAGTTGGAAAAATTATGGACTCCATAGACAAGAAAGTTCATGAGAAGTTAGATGAAGAAGAACTCGAAGATACAGTAGAGAATGCTAAACCTTTGTTCGAACAAGAAGTTGGAAAAATGTGCGGAAAACAATTAGAACATGAACGTGAGAAATGTTATGGTTATAGAGATTCTCCATACGAACTAGACCAATGGGAACAAGAAGATTTAAAGAGAGAATTTAGAGAATATGAACTCGCTAAGATAGCATTTGAAGCTGCAGAAAAGAAGTTAAAAGTTTGGGGTCGTTTTGTAAAAAAATATTGTGAGTAAATGAACCATTTATTTTTATTGAATTCAGTAAAAATAATGTTTAGGGTAGAAGGTTAGATCTAACCTCTTTTCTACCCTCTTTTCTACCCTCTTGAATTTTCATGACTTCTTCGTAAATGTTTTGTCATGACTTCTTCGTAATGAGCGTAAAGGACCCAAAAATAATGTTTAGGTGAAGAGGTGAGATCTCACCTGTTTTCTCACCTCTTTTCTCACCTCTTGAATTTTCATGAATTTTCCCGAAATAAAAAAATAAAGTTAGTTTTATTTTTTTATTTTTTTTATTTTGTATGTAAAGATATGATTTCAACAATCGGCACAACAACAATTCAAACAACAACTTCACCAAACTCTTTAGTTATGAATCCTACGTCAATGTTAGTAGAGATGAAAAGCTTCATTCCTTCTTCATATACTTTCGAAACAAAAATCCAGAAGATAAAGCAAGAACTTTTAACAAGTAATTTAGACTGTAGTGCGAAAGATGAAACAAATGAACAGTATCTTTATGAAATGCAGGACATTATTGACCATTTACCCAAATTGCCTGAAATTCAGCAACAAAAACTCACTATTCCTGAATTCGATGAAATAGAAGTCAAAGCAACTGACTCAGTAGAAATAAAGAAGTTCATACGAAAGGTAAATTATGAATTCCTTGGTTTTCATTGCAACCATAAGGTTATGGACAAAGATTGCGACATGTTATATAAGAACATCTCTGACATATATAAATCTGGGGAGTTTAAGACCTACGACAACTTTGTTTCGTTAGTTGCTGAATGTGTATGGCAGATAAGAGATAAAGATAGAAGAGGTAAGGTATGGAATGAACAGATAAAACCAACTGCTTCAGATTTAAAGAAAACCATTGACGCCTTAGTTGTTCTAGCAGGTCAAATTTCAATGTATAACGCAAAAATGAACCCGCAATGTTCAAAATGTAAAGCAGCAATGAGGAAATATAACTACTCCGTCAAAGAGATAGAAAGAATGAGAAACGACTATGCAGACTTAAAGAAAGAAGCAGAAAAGCCAGCAGAAAATAAAATGGACATGTTAGCATTTCTGAACAAAAACTATCCAACTGCTGACGATTTCCTATTATCTGACGTCAAGAAGAAGTATAAAGAAACTTTCGGCATAGTTAAAACATTCGATATCCTCAGCGAAGAAATAGAAGCTACAAAACTGTTTAGGATTTCAAATATACATCGTACAATTCATGTAAAACGGTTGTGAAAAAAACAGGTGAGAAAACAGGTGAGAAAACGGGTGAGATCTCACCTCTTCACCTAAACTTTATTTTTACTGAATTCCGTATGAAATTTCATGAATTTTGTGTGTTTTAGACCATGTGAGAAAACAGGTGAAAAAACGGGTGAGATCTCACCTCTTCACCTAAAATATATTTTTGCTGAAAAATGACCAAATTTCATGAATTTCCTTAAGATAGAAAAAATAAAGTTAGTTTTTTATAAAATATTTTTTTTATTTTGTATGTAAGAACATATATGACAAACATTGAGTTTGAAACAGTTAAAAAGATAGACAATGACACCAAAGTGGTTAGAATAGGTGATTTAAACGTAAGATACTCAAAGAAATACAACAAATATTCTTTGTCAGACATTTTATCTCCATCTGGAAAGAAAACAAAGGACTGGGTTAGAATTGCTTCTAGTCAGAAAATTTTGACAAGAAATCCTGAGCTTATGATATCGGTAAAATTCTATGGAACTGCAGCATATCTTATAGACAAAAGTCTTATACCAATAGTTTTGTTATGGATTGACCCAGTTGTTGGATATAACTTCATAACATATGGTTCATTCGATACGGAACGTTGCAGTGAAGGCTTACTTTACATCGTTCAGAAACCGAAGGACTTCAATACAAAGAGATATAAGATAGGAAGAACATATAATATAACTCAAAGATATGACAGTACAGTCAATAGAGTCAAGGTTGTGTTCGTTAACGATATGAGAGCTGCTGAAACAGAACTACTTGAAAAGTTTGAGAAAATGTATGGTGCTCCCATAAAAGGTAAAGAAACGTTTGAAGTAGATGAGATAGATAAAGCTATAAAATTATTTGACGAAGTTGCTGAAAAATACATGTAAAAATAACGTTTACCATGTAAAACGCTTGTGAGAAAACAGGTGAAAAAACAGGTTAGAAAACAGGTTAGATCTAACCTTCTACCCTAAAATATATTTTTGCTGAATTCAGCACAAAAATCTGAGTAAAATGGCATAAGATTGCTTTCCTCGGAAAAACCGAGAGAAGAGATTCCGTACGAAAACAGTGAAATTTCTCTAGACCGACTTCCTTCGGTCTTGCATAAAACTCATGAAAATCGTGAAAAATTGCGACCCAGACTTTTTTCGGGGTCGCCAAAACTCTATGAAAACAGTGAAGAACAGCGAGTAGGTAAAAAACCCCAGTCGCCAAAACTCTATGAAAATCATGAATTTCCTTAAGATAGAAAAAATAAAGTTAGTTTTATTTTTATTTATTTTTTTATTTTGTATGTAAAGACAGATATGTCAACAACAGAGAACACAACAACTGCTATCGTTCATGAAGCTATAAATGAAGAATATGAGTACATACAGTTTAACAAACAACTCCGTCTCATTCGTTCGGTCAAAGACGATATGTACCAAATGCAAAGTATTTTGACAGCATGTTTTGCTCCAGATACTAAGAAACCACAAGACTGGTTTAGGAACCAAAGCACTATTGAACTATTAAATGAAGCTGAAAATTCGACTACGGATTTTCTCGTAGTCGCAAAAACTCGAGTAGGTAAAAAACCGCAGTCGCCAAAACTCTATGAAAACAGTGAAGAACAGCGAGTAAGTAAAAAACCCCAGTCGCCAAAACTCTATGAAAATCGTGAAAAATTGCCAAACGGTTTGAGAGGATATTATGTACATAGACTTCTTGTAAATGCTGTTGCAATGTGGGCTTCGCCTCGTTATGCTTGGTATATTTACAGACTTCTTGACGAAATTCATAGACAAGAACGTGAAGAGCTAGAGAACAAGCTTGAAGCAAAAGACAAAAGCATTCAGAAAAGAATACCACGTTCGGTACCAAAAGGAAAGGAAAAGAACTATAAGTATATGATTTATACTGAAGAGATGGAAAATGAAGAAGATAAAGATATGGTTATGTTGCATTTAGTCAGAAGAAACAACAAAAGCTTTTACGACCTTGCTAAGATTTACAAATCTGACAGAAATTGGTTCTATCGCGAAAACTTACCGATTTCAATGACCCCAAATGAAGATGTGAAACAAATAGTTCAAGATACTTTACCTCAAACACACTATGATATGAAAGGTTGTACAATACTTACATTCAAAGAAGATTTGCCATTGTTAAAGGAAAAAATAACAGAGTATTTTGACAACTTCAAACAAGTAGGGTAGATGAACCATTTATTTTTCAAGCTTGACTTCAGATGGCTCAGGTAGCTCAATTAGGTAAATTGCCTCGTCAAATCCTTCTGGCATTCCGAGTCCTTCCTTCCGACAGAAAAATATTTTCCCGACAACTGGAAAAGTTCTTCCTTCCAACAGGAAAAAATTTTCCATCCGACAAGAAAAAATTTTCCAGTTGTCCGTCCGTAAACCATTCAAATTTTCGAAAATTGAGAACTTTTTGGTCGAACTTCAGGAAAAGTTTTTCCTTCCAACAGAAAAAATTTTTCCTTCCGACAGGAAAAGTTTTTCCCGACAACAGGAAAAGTTCTTCCTTCCGACAGGACACAAACGAATGTCTCACGTCCCTCTTCCTGAATGCCTTCCAAAGCCAGAAGAACCGACAGCCCCAGCACCACAACAGACTTACTAAGACTAAACACTTAGATTTTTCAAGCTTGACTTTTTACAATTTGAACTTTGTTTGCGTAGATATGAATTCTGAAAGAAGTATGAGGGTCTTGTATGACTTTGTACTTCTCCCATAGTTCATGTCTGTCAAACTTACCTGCCATGGACTCTTTCATAAGTTCCATGAAATCGTCTTCGGACAATCCAGGGAAAAGTATAATGTCAGTAAGTATTCTTTTAACATCCTTACTTAAACTCTTTGCTGTCTGTACACAAATGACAACTGAGATGTTAAAGTGTCTGAGCTTCTTAAGAATTCGACACATATCTTGTTCTCTATTCTTTAACAAAGGATGAGAGGCGAAATCATCTAAGATAAGAAGACACCTATGAGGGTATGTCTTCCAATCGTAAGATTGCAATTTCTTCGAAATGTATTCTATCTCTTTCTGTTTGTTTCTGAAGTGTTTCTTCTCTAATATTCTCTGCATTTCCTCATTTGGGTCTTTAAACTTAGAATTTATATACTCATTTATAGCATTGTACTTCAAAACCCTTCTTTGGTACTTCTTTATCCAATCTAACAACTCAGTATCCTTTATACATACTAACTTAGACTTCTTTATAATATCTTTGAACGAATTGACGGTTTGGTCAAATTGACCAGAAGTACTACAAATGACAACTAACTCATAGAATGGGTCTTCTCATCTAGTTCTTGTTGTTGTGCAGCCATTTTAAGATAAGTGAAAGTCTTACCAGACCCAGGTGGTGCAATTAGACCTGTTATACCATTCTGAGCAAATAAGAACTTTTCATGTATAGGCTTTATCTGAGCATTTTCTAACTTCCTCTTGTTCTTGTTTAAAACATTCTCAAATTTCTTGTCAATGTCAGCAAACTTTTTTTCTAACATATTTTTAGAAAAATTAAAATTTTTATCTTTTAGAAAATGTCTAGCGATTTCGCTATCTATATTTCGAGACAAGCTTTTCGACAGCAAAACATCTGTCGACCATAAAATCTTACATAGTGTAAACAAGAAAGGTGAATTTGTTCTAAAGTTCTGTTTTGGAATATGACAAGAACCATAAAACATTAGGCAGAGAAGTCTTTAAGTTTGTCAATGACAGACTTGTTGACAGAGATGACACCGATTGGAAAGATGAAGTCCAACAAAACTTCTTAGAATGCAAAGAAGACACATGCGCTGTTCTTGAAGATGAAATAGAAAACAGAATAGATGAGCTATTAAAGGACAAAGAACTTTTACATAAATATGGTTGCGCCAAATTTGACATAACTCCACCAGAAAAGAAGAAGAGAGAAAAGAAAGAAAAGAAAGAAAAGAAAGTAGAAGAAGAGAAGAAAGAACCTGAACCCGTTCCAGAGAAAAAGAAATTTGACATGTAAAAATAAAATTTTATTTTTAGAACATTTCTGGGTCAATGTCAATGTTCTCTTCCTCTTTAGGAGTAAACACTGGCTTAGACTCTAAAATCTTTTTACCCAATTTACCTTGAACTTCAACTATCTTAGACTCATAATATTCATAGTCGTCTGCCTTTCTTTGGTTCATAAGGTATAACAAGTTTGTATGCTTTGCCTTCTTTAAGGTTGAGAACCTTCTGTCAAAATTTTCTTTGACTGCTAACAAACCTTCTCTATGTCTAAGTCTTCAAATTTCGCACCATTTTTAGTCACAATAGCAAAACTTAAACTGGTTCGATGTTCCAAAACTTTGCTGAATGAAGACTTTTCAAAATGGTAGAAGTAAACATTCAAATATGTGAATGGGTCTAGTTCTTCTTTAAGTCCTGACATGTACTTGTTTACTGAGATGAATTTTGCCATCTTTTCTATCGGATAAAAAAATATTTTTTTAAATTTACTCATAAAAATTTTTCTTTGTATATACACCATTCTGTACGTCTAAAAGACTTTTGACATTTGCCAAGAATGTTCGTTTAGACGCTGCCATATAACCATATTCTTGACAATATTGTTTATACGAATCGTACAATGACCTTTCATCTAAACACTCAAAGTCAGTTTCATCTATGAACAGTTCATATACACTCTTGTTTGCTTCTAACAATGTTTGTCTCTCTTCGGTATGTGGAATTTGTCTTGGATTGAACTTTGAAATATCTAAATGTCATAAAATATGAGAACAAGTGGTTGTAAAAGTCAGATGTCAAAGTTTCTGCTAAGTCGTCAAAATATTCTGTATCTTGCATATGAGAATCTGACGTTCTGACAACTACATATCTTCTGTCAGAACTTTCTAACTTCATCGGAACAGTATTGTTTGAAACCATAATGAAGTTTGCAACATTTTCACAAACTCTTTGGTCTTTATATTTTCTTTCAACAACTCCAACTTTGTCTGTTATAAGACTCTTCAAAGCATCTGAGTTCAAAACTTTTGTTGTATCTATACTTTGAAGTTCGTTACAAACTATAAGTTTCATATTCTCTATTGAGGAGTTAAATTTACCGCAGATGTTTTCTAAGTTTGTCATATTCGGATTCGAATAGCCCTCTAACAGTTTGCACAAAATATCTGTAAAGAAAGTATTCTTACCTGTTCCTTGTTTTCCAATTATAATGAGAGCAGTTTCATTTTTAGCACTTGGATGTTGTAAGATGTTTGCAAACCAACATAAGATATACTCATAGACTCTTTCGTTTCCATTGCATATAATTTCTTTGACATGGTCTAACCAAGCTTCTATAATATTTTCTTTCCATTCTACTTGTTCGTATTTATATCCAGTGAAGATAGAATAGAAGTTTGGAGAAGGTGTATAAAACTTTATACCACGAACTGAAAAATCTTCTAACTTTGACAATAAGATATCCCAAGCATCTAACATCTTCATTCCAACTTGTACAACTTTTATTTTCTTAAGTTTCTGTCTACATTCTTGTTCAGACACTATTGTTGCTCTTGGTTTGTTAAAGACAACATCCCATTCTTTCATGACATAACATTCTGGGGCAGAGTCAACATAAATGACTAAACGTTTCAAATTCTCGACTGCTTTGTTATAGTCTCTAAATGGACACATATTTCTGAATGCTTGGAAGTCATAAAAATCTGAAACATCTATTCTGTACATTTTTATAAAAATAAAAAAAAATAATATTTTTTTTATTCTTGACTTTGTTGTTCCATTTGTTGCATTTGTTGTTCTTGAGCTATTTGTTGTTGAAGTTGTTCTTGTAATACAATACTTTCACCAGTTGCATCTTCCAATTCGAAACTTTCTGCCGTCATTGACAAATACATAGGACATAAAAGTTTTACAGGAACAAAGTTTGCGTCAACTAATGTCAACGTTATACTTGCCAAAGTGTTTGAGTTCACTAAGGTTGAAAATTCTGCATTCGAATGAACAATAGGCAAACCAGCAGAGAAAGTATTGTTTATACGCATAAGTATCTTTTGGTCATAATAGTTTCTGTCGACATTCGAATAACACTTTGAACCTAAGTTTGAAACAATATATAAGATTGGTGTGCTTAATGTCAATGGAATAGACATTCCTTGTATGACACCTTTTCCTGTTATAGGAAACTGTTGGTAGTAAAAACCAGAAATAAGTTTTGTATTATAGCTCATATCGTTTATAGTAAAACTCAGTCGGACATCCAAACATAATGAAACCTGCTCTAGTTGCAGCACATGTTACACCCGTACTTAAAGTATTAAATAAGTCAACAAAACCTGTTGGTGGTATATCTGAGTAAGTATCTTCAAAGGAGTATTTTTTACCATTCACAACAATAAAGTCTTCTGGTGTCAAAAGAGCAAAACAGGCTTTAGTCGTCATTGTGTTTAAGGTTAGTTTACAATATCGTCCTTGAGGACTTTGTAAGTTTGTTGTTATAGAATTATATGACTCAGGGTTTTTAGTCGTAATAGTATAAACCATTATGTCTTCTGCCATTTATATATATTTAAAAGTTTTTCTGAAAGTGGAGAAGAACTTCATCTAAACTTTCACATGGCGTTTCTTGAAGTTCTCTGTCTAAGAAGTTCAAATATTTTGTAAAGACATAGAACTTTCCTTTGTCTACACGAACAAACAAAACAGGGTCTTTCATATCGTTCAAAAGTGTGTAAAGTCCTTTACATGAAATAAAGTCTATATTTTTTCTTCAAACATCTTTCAAGAAGTTTTGACATTTTTACTTAGCAAATAAATTTTAATGAAATGTTGTGGTCGTCAAAATATTTTTATGACGTCTGGGAAACTATACTTTAAGTTCAACGTTTCACCTCCTTTCATAACGTATATCTTGTCAATGACATTATATGAAACACCACAGCAACTAATGTCGGGTTCTATTTCTTTGATGTTTATATCGTCTGCCTCTGTCAAAAGTTTCAATAGTTCTTTCAAAACTTCATGAGGTGCAATGACATATGAGTTCACTTTTACAGGGTTGTGTTCGACCAAGTTTAACATTATACTTAAAGCTTGACAAATCTTCTCCTGAGTTTGAAGTTTGTCTTTCAGTTGTTGGTAGTCGTTTCGAATATCTGCAACAGAACTTAAGTCTCTGCTAACTTCAGGATATGTTGGTTGTTCTTTTACAGGAACTATTGTTATACCATCTTCGTCTTCGTATGGTTTCCCCACTTCAACATCTCTGTCTTTGACATTGACAACAACACTTTGACTGTTTGTTTGAGTTGGTGAATTTAACTTCACATCTGCCACCGCCATTAAACCTTTTGAAACACTCACGCTTCTATTTTTCGGAAATGACATTTTACTTAGAATAAAAAGATGGACGTATTCGAGTATCTCTTCGAATTGAAGCAGAACAAAGTTTACACACACAAACAATACAAATACATTGACAGAATAGTTCTTTATACAAACAATGGTAAATGTTATAGAATAGCAGTCTTTGCTGAACCAAAATATTTTCATAAAGCAAAGAAAGTTGGTATAACCGAGATGGTGAAAGTTCTTGAAGCATACAAAAATATAACAACAAAACTTACAGATATTTCTAAAGGAAAGTTTATCTTACAATATTATGTCAAAACTGGCGTACTGTCAATATTTGACGGAGAGAAGTCAGTTCAAGAACAACTTACTGACCTGCTGCCAAAATCTGCTCGATGGAAGCTGTCGTTATGCCAATCTGAGGAGCCCCAGCAGGTTTCATCGAACGAATCTTCAAAAGAGCATCTTCCGTGAAAAGTGCTATTGGTTTTGTAAACTTCTTTGCTTTCAATTCATCTGGACCGTCTCTGTCACCAGTATATTGTATTTGAACTGTACCAACAGTTGAAATACCACCCATAAAGTCTTCTGAGTCAGCAAATGGAATGCCAAGCCAAAAGTTTGAACGGTCTCCATTTGTATATTGAGTTTTTTGACCTCCTGTATGAGTCCATACTTTCACATATGGCATAATAGAACTTTGCATTTCAGGGTTAATGGTTGTTGTGAAGTTGTTGTTAAAGTTCATAGCATCTAATGTCAAGTTGACTGACCTCATATCCTCAACTGTAGAATATTCTTCTCTTGGATAATATTTGCCATCTATGTTTATATGATATTTAATACCGGGGTTGTAGAAACAAGAATAGTCATTTATAGTTCGTCTGAACAGTACAAACATAGTATCTGCATGTTTCATTGCAGTTGTTAAAGCAATATCTGTTCTTGCACCTGGGTCAGCACTTTGTTTCCAACTTCACCTGCAAAGTCTTTGACAGATATTTGGTGTATAGGGAACATAAGTGGAACTGCAATATATTTGGCAGCTAAAGCATTTGAAATATCTGGGTCCAACATATAGACTGCAAGTCTGCTTTCTATTCTCTTGCATTCAAATTTTTCGCATGTGAACTTAACTGGGTCCCAAGCAGTTCCAGCAGCATTGAATATAATAGTTTACTTCATTGTTGAAGTTTGAGAAACCAAAGTCTAAGTTCAACTTTGTCTTTGCAAAAGTCACAGAACTTGGCTCCACCAGTTCCAGCTACAGTAATGCTGAAATGGTCTTGTGTTGGTGCAATGACTAAGTTATTTTTGCTTGGAGTAAGTCAATAGAAATTTTTCCTGCCCAGTTTGGCAAGTATCTTAAAAACCTGAAGATGAGGAAAGATGACAAAGGAACTCTAAGTTTCAGTTTTACTTTAGTGCAGCAGTTCCATCTGAACCAGAAAGGTTAACATAAACTCCTGGAACGTTAGGGTCAAGTCTTCTTATTTTCTCAATATTTGCATACTGGTCTGTTTGTTCTCTAGCTTGTGGTGTACTGAGTTTCTCAAAGCGAACCATTCATAGTTGCTTGCCATGTTACTGTTTGAACTAAGTCAGAGTTAGAATATATCTTATATCCCATGAAAACTTCTGGAGCATATTGGTATCCGACATAGAAAATTCCATTGCAACCTTTCTTGTCAGACAACTTGGCAGAAGGTTTTATTTCAATGTCTTGTTCCACGTATAAGAATGAGTTGTCAATAGAAATAATATGAAACCTGTCGCAAGCAATATCTACTGTTGTTGAAGAACCTTCTCCAAACTCCCCTACGTTTCCATAAGAAACAGCAGTTGTATATTCGTAAGTTCCAGGAACTATTTCTGACCTTCTAATGGCATTGTCGCATTCGTTATACCATTCGGAAACATTTCCGTTCATGCATCCAAAACTGTTGGCGTTATATTCTGAGCGGTCGTACATTTCATATGGGTAAAAATATAGAATAGTTGGATTTATATATCATAATAGAACCCACTCGTACCAAGCTTTACTTTCTTCCTGACTGAGTTTTTAACTCTTCTTTTCCTTCATTGCCACTACTTTCACTAGATGAAGTTACTTCTTCACTACTTTCACTTTGTTCTACTCTTCTTCTTTGGTGTCGCTTTTGGTAACTTGCCCTCTGCTTCAAGTCGTTGCATCTTTGCCTCATGTTCACCTAGTATGTTTAAATTTCACGTGTCCTTTTTGCCTTTGGCTCTGGTCGCCCATCTCAGGTAACCTATATCCTAGAAAGATTTTGTCATAGTTTGTATTTGAGTCTTCGCGTATTGTTTGCATGACTCTTTCCTGAGTTTCCGGTTCAAGCTCTTCAAACAGAGCTTGTCCATATGGAATAAGCTCGTTTCCAAATATATGTTTTTGTAGCCATTCTGGTTTTCTTTCCATGTTACCAATAATATCTTTTGTGAATGGGAAAGCTTTTACCCAATGTTTCAGTCTTGCGTCATTTATTTCTGTAGTTGGTTTTATTTTTGTCAAGGAACATGTTTTTCAATACTAACATTTCATTTGGTACTGTCCATTTGAGTTTTCTTAATATTCATCCCTTCTCAGTTCATTGTCTGCAAAGTAAGTTTTTTATGACATTTTGCAAACTTTCGTTTGCAAGGTCATGTACAATAGGTTCTCTTCCTTCTCTCTCCCTAACTTTCTTTCTAAACTCTTCACCAAATATACCATCTCTATGGTTCTGTGTAGTTCTTTGAGATAAATGTTCTAGAACGTCAGGTGTTATATTTCCATCAGCCATGTTCATTTCATACTGGTCCAAAATATCTGCATCTTTCATATCTTTCAATGGCATTAAAGCCGCGCTGAAAATACCAGCTATATCTGGTTCACCATTCACTTCCATTGCGTCTACAACTTCTTGGAATTGTGGTTGTAAGTTTATGAACCACCTATCCGGATTAGCTTTATGACCCCATCTCATTGTAGTTCCATAGTCTGCAGAAACAAAAGTAGGTTTGTTTCCATATTGGTTAGGTTCTGAATGAACTTTAAACAATGTTTCATTTCTATATGTTTTGTTGAAATTTAACCTTTTATTTTCACCGAGTTCATCCAAAGATTGAACGTTATATGGTCGTAAGTAAAAAGGATTGTTGTATTTGCGTACATTTTCTTTCAGTACTTCCATTCTATGCTGAATATTTTCATCTGATGTTGGAGTCTTTTGTATGTCGGCGAACATTTTTCGATATTCTTCTACTATGTCAGCCGAATTTTTCTTAGACTCTTGGAAAGATTCCATATTCTCCGCATACTCTTGTTGAGGGTCAAGATTTTTCGGCTGTTCCAAATCTTCATCTAGTTCTGTGAAGTTAGTTTCCAAAGGAGGGACTTGTTCGTTTCCTTCAGGCTCTTCTAGCTGTTGTTGCTGAACTATTTCTTCCATGTCTGGTTGTATCTGAACTTCTTCCTGTGGAGTTTCTTGTACCTCATCTGCTGGCATTTCATATATTCCGAGACCGTTTTTAACAAGTTCCCTATTTAAGCCATCCGCATTCATAACCCTTTCTTCTTTCGTTCCGTCTCTATTTTTTACGCGTTTCATGAAGATAGTTGAATTATCATTTATCTCTGACACCAAATATCTTGGAGTAAATTCATCCATGTCATTTGGATGATATGCTATTAAATCATATCCCTTAGCGAGCTTGTATTTTCCAGGTTTGAAATTATATCCCATTTGGTGCTGAACCATAAAGCTAAATAGGTTCGGGTCAGTATTTCCTTCCTTGAACTTTCTAATAGCTTCTTTATATCTGTCACTAAAGTCAAGAGTATCTGGGTAACCATAGTCTTCCTTAAGCATTTTTAAGAATTCTTGGTTTCCTTGTTCTCTACTTCTTTTATGTCCTTGCTCTGTTTGTGGTTGTTGCTGTGCAGTGTTTTGAACTGTTGGTTGTGGTGTAGTGTTTTGAACTGTTGGTTGTGGTGCAGTGTTTTGAACTGTTGGTTGTGGTGTAGTGTTTTGAACTGTTGGTTGTTGTGTTGGTTGTTGTGTTGGTTTTGGTGCATGCCTGTGTCTGTGTCCATGTGACGATGTAAATGTTTTAGGTAGTCCTGGTGCAGGTGCTTCTCTTGGAGGGTTTGGTGGTATATAAGTTCCACTAGCTAGTATATAAGTTCCACCAGCTGGTATATAAGTTCCACCAGCTGGCACATATGTTCCATCTGCAGCATAATGTCCTACCTGACTTTTCGTTCTTAAGAAAGCATTTACTAGGTCTGTTTTGGTCTGTTGTAACTCTTTTTCTTGACTTTCCACAACAGTTGCTCTAACGGCGTCATAGGCACTTTGAACTGCCTGTCTCGTTGCTGCATCTGTTATTTTCGTCATATTTTGTGCTACTTCTCTTAACTCGTTGTCGAAACCTTCAGACTTCAGTTTCTTTCCAGATGAGAAGTCGTTCACTAGTTTCACCTTACTATGAAGAGCTTCGAAGGCATTCTTAAAGTCAGCATTCATTAAAGCTTCATTTGAACTGTCTTCATCCGCTTGTATTTTTGTCCTTATTGACCCTATAAGTTGGGCTGCTTTAGCGTTGGCTTGGGCATCTAACCAGTCATTATTAGCTTTTATATATTCTGCGCTTTTCATTGCCTTTTGCATGGCTGCGTCGTTATTTTTACTTTCTTGTGCTAAGTTTTCATACTGTACGGTTTGGTTTTGCAACTGTAAAAGTTTTTCTGCCTTTACATTTGCTTCAACTTCTTTTTTATACTCATCGCTATCCATATATGTCTTCAGGGCTTTTTGTTTTATCTCTTCATCTTTCAGTACTTTATATTGAGTAGTATGGTTTTTCAAATTTATAACATCTTGTTCCATTTTTGCTACTTCTGCTGCTTTTTCTGACACTTTTTTCGCATATTCCTCTGTACTTAGTTCTTTCAGTTGTTCTTCTTTCTTCTTTTTCTCTACGTTTAACTCATTTAGTTTCTTTGTGTGTCTGTCATATTCTAGTTTCTTTTCGTTTTCACTTATTTGTTTCTGTATGTCTATGTTTGACTTTTTGACATCTGTTATTTGATTTTTGAGTGAACTCAAATTCATTTGACTTTGAGGGTTATAAGCTGTTCCGTCTGCAGCTCCACCATAGCCTGCCATTTTCGCTAAAAGTGCCGCTCTTAAACCTCCACTCTGTGCACCAATAACTCGGTTTAAAAGCATAGGGTTGCTTGACATTTGTTGCAACATAGTGGGGTCATTCATAATTTGTTGTTGCAACTGTTGTTGTGGTGTCAGTTTTACTATTGGATGTTTCAATGCTCTCTTCCTCTTACGTATATTCTTACGTAGCTTACGTGGCATTTTAAGTGAAGTAAAAAACGGTTTTTGACAGATGTTTATATGACACTTTTTGTTCAGCACAAAAAACTACTCGGTCAAAGTGTTGTCAGTTTTGTAAAATAACCGTCCTATCTCCGTGCCTATGACGAAGAAATCATGAAAATTCAAGAGGTGAGAAAAGAGGTGAGAAAACAGGTGAGATCTCACCTCTTCACCTAAATTATATTTTTGGGTCCTTTACACTCATTACGATGAAGAAGTCTTGACAAAACATGTACGTTCGTGTTTGACAAAACATTTACGAAGAAATCATGACAAATTCAAGAGGGTAGAAAAGAGGTTAGATCTAACCTTCTACCCTAAATTATATTTTTGGTCATTTACACTCATTACGAAGAAGTCTTGACAAAACATGTACGTTCATGTTTGACAAAACATTTACGAAGAAGTCTTGACAAAACATTTACGAAGAAGTCTTGACAAAACATGTACGTTCATGTTTGACAAAACATGAAAACATATATAATTTGTGAAAAGTGACACATTATATATAATGTTTTCGACCCAGAAGACTAACAATTTTCCGAATAAAAAACTTCATTTATTACTAAACATCATCAGGGCTAGAAGGCACGAAGTGCCTGGAAGCCCCACTACCTTTTTTTTTTTTTTTTTTTTTTTAAAAAAGATCAATTAATTTGCCTTTCCAATAATAAAAATTTAATCAAATTGAAGACTAATAAAAAGTGACACGACTACTTAACTTTCAGAATTTTCAGACAATCTTTTCAATGTATTCACAAAAATTTGTTAAGCTTCAAAAATCACTACGCTCCCTCAGCTGTAATAAAAGCTATTATCTGTCTATAAATATTACGAATATCACTTAACCAACTGATGAAATTTGTTTCAGTTTGTTTATTCTTTTGAATGATTTTTAAGGGTCCACTGTAAGGCCAAATAAGGCCTATCGTCGTCCCAAAAATATTGCTCAAGATGGTGTTTTTACTAAGGCCCAAAACTTAAAAAACACAAAAAAATTAACTTTACTCTTTTGAGATCCTTATCAGATGTGCAACAATTTGATGCAGTATCGCAATTCGAATCAGATTTTTTAATGTAGATGTACTCTAACATTCTTGAAAAAATGCAAAATGATATTAATCAAGCTTTTCATTTCTGTATCATACACGAAACAAAATCATTCATTATACTAAAATTTATCAAAGTTTGAATAATGAAAAAAATAATATCTAAATTTTTACATTGAGTCGGCTATTGATATGGTCAATATTAAATCGTTTAAAAATGGGCATTGGCCAGAATAATACCCACTAAAATACACATTTTTTTAAATTTTATCAATTTGTTATGGTATATCTTTATGATAATGAATAAAATGCTTATCTTTCATAAGTCAATACATAATTTATGCTGAAACACAAAAAATAACACGAAAATTTTTGGCCAACATTTCAAAACGAAGGATAGTGCTTTGAATATATAAACAATAATACTTTGTCTAGAGAATTAAATTTGTGCTATCCAATTGTCAATTCTTTGAATTTTTTATAAAATGCACGATATTCCGGCATTAGCCTCAATAAATATAAACTACATGCATCACAATATTAGGATGTAATGGCATTAAAGCGAATTTCCTAATTTCTTCTCAATTTAATTCCTAGAAAAACTTAGGAATTAATGATTGGAAATAGGTCAAAAAATTCCTAATATAAAATTTATACTTAAATTAAAATCAAAATTCGAAAATATCTATTTTTCAAAACACGCATCCAGAAGCGAAAAAATTCGAAAAAATCATGTTCTTATAAAACTCGCTGATTTTGCAATTTTTATGTGATTTGAAGTGATAGAATGTATTATCATCTTACTAAAACATATACTTTATTATTACATTCACAAAATATTAATCAGAACACTAGGAAAAGTGGATTTTCGAAAAAAGATGATAACGATTATTTGCAAATCGCCTCTCAATTTTGAGAGACTTTCAATTTTTACAGTGGACCCTTAAGTTTCACAAAAATTTGAATAGCATTCATTTACAAAGGAATTTAGCTCATTATGATGAACTACACATTTGTTAATGGACTCTTCCCTGTTTTCCCTGTCGAAGCCCACAAGCACAATACAACCCAATCACAGAGAGACAATGAAAGAATTGAGAAACGCAAGATGAAGAACGGACTCAAGACAGAATACATATATGCATACTTCAACAGACTTATTGGCTCTCATGTCACATTCCCACTTCTTCTCTCCTTTGCCAAAATCTTTGCCCAAGATCTTCAGATCTACATTGATCGTTTGGCCAAGCGAAACAGATCGGCATTACTTTGCTGGTATGCCGAGAACTGGGATTCAATCAAACCCGCTCTCCACAGAGTCGTTAAAGATCTTAACATTCAATCCATTGTCGGCAACCAGGCCAGGCCAGCTACAAACGAAATCGTTATTTCTCAGGTCACAAACCAAAAAATGTGCGATCCTTCCGATCTTTCTCAACTCCTTAATTACCATTAATTTGTAATTATTAACCATGTTAATTCCATATTTAGGATTGTTTAACTTAATGTTTTAATAAAGGATAAATATGGATTTTTAAATATGATTGTTGAAATATTTTTGATATTGAAAAATCAAGGAATGCTCAGAAAAGTAGTAGATTTTCATATAAAATATTCAAAATATAATCTCAAAAAATATTCCGAAATTATAATGGTGAAATATAGCTCAACACCAAAAAAAGGACCATATATGATTCCCGATAAAAACGTTTCTTTATTCAAAAAATAAACAACATAAAAATCATTTTACAATTGCGATTTTGCATGAATTTAAAAAAAAGTAGTGGGGCTTCCAGGCGCGTTGCGCCCTCTAGCCCCGAAGATGTTTAGTATAAATGAAGTTTTTATTCGGAAAATTGTTAGTCTTCTGGTGTGAATTCGGAGGACTCTTCTTGGATAGAGTCTTGTATTTCCTCCTCCTCTTCTTCCTCCTCCATTGCTTCTGGGAAGAAGCCTTCTTCTGGGTCGAAAACATTATATAATGTGTAATTGAATGACACATTATATCTTTCTTTGAGTTCGCTCCTGACAAAGAACTTAGTTCCAGGAATACAGAAGACTTCTGTGCGTTGGAAAAGCTGATGTCCTGGAACGAATTTGGCAATTAGAGACTTCTTTTTTCCGAATTGTTCAGGAGTTTTCATGACGACAGTAACAACATCTCCATCTGCGAGGTCTTGTTGTTGTTCGGAAAGGTAAAGAGCAATGATATGAATGGTTGCTGCGTTGAATTCGAGAAAGTCGAATTCAAATTGTGTTGTCGTATAACATTCAAACCATTTTGTACAGTTGTCTCCGAACTCGTCAACGTATTCATCTTCGTCATATCCGTAACTAAAGACTTGGAATTCGGCAATTCTCGTGTCGAATGACCGTTGGATGTAACGAGGAAGATTTTGACGAACTTGGTATAAAGTTCTCAACATTATAAGCTTAGTAAATGTTGGAAAATACTGAACTAAGACATCGCTAAGCTCAATTGGACTTGGAATTGTCTTAGTAAGTTCAATTGAACTAGTAATTGCTTTGTTCAGAACTTCACAGAACTGAGTATTGTATGTAGCGTCTGGTTGTGTGTTTTCTTCGGCGTCTTTGAGATATTTAGAGCAAATTTGTTGAAGAATTTCTCTTAATTCGCTGTTAGACTTTTTGGTGGTTATTCTAACCGCTGTGCCAGTTCTTGGAGGTTGTGGGGCTTTGGCTTTGGTTAGCGGTTGAGAATTGTTAATGTTTGAATTGTGGTTAACAGCGTTGGCTTCCATTATGAAAAATGAACTGTTTTTTTCGGACCACTCATAGAAAAGTTTGAGATAAACCGTTTTCGTCAACGGAGACCCCCTCTATTTTTTATTTTATTGAATAGTTACCGTTGGCAAACCGTTCCATCTCAAATATTGAATGAACTATAAACGTTTTTTGTTTTCTATATATACTTTTTTGTCCAACGGTAAAACTTTTTACACAACGGTTTTTGAGAGTCGTCGCCGTTGACTTTTTTGTAGAGCACTCAAAATAGTATAACTTTGTCCGGACAAGTAAGGGTCTATCGTCGCTACAGGAAAAGTTACAGGCGTTCCAAGGAAGTATACTTTGAGAAGCCTTTTTCCCCTTATAGAATGAGATAGGACGGTTATTTTACAAAACTGACAACACTTTGACCGAGTAGTTTTTTGTGCTGAACAAAAAGTGTCATATAAACATCTGTCAAAAACCGTTTTTTACTTCACTTAAAATGCCACGTAAGCTACGTAAGAATATACGTAAGAGGAAGGGAGCATTGAAACATCCAATAGTAAAACTGACACCACAACAACAGTTGCAACAACAAATTATGAATGACCCCACTATGTTGCAACAAATGTCAAGCAACCCTATGCTTTTAAACCGAGTTATTGGTGCACAGAGTGGAGGTTTAAGAGCGGCACTTTTAGCGAAAATGGCAGGCTATGGTGGAGCTGCAGACGGAACAGCTTATAACCCTCAAAGTCAAATGAATTTGAGTTCACTCAAAAATCAAATAACAGATGTCAAAAAGTCAAACATAGACATACAGAAACAAATAAGTGAAAACGAAAAGAAACTAGAATATGACAGACACACAAAGAAACTCAATGAGTTAAACGTAGAGAAAAAAAAAGAAAGAAGAACAACTGAAAGAACTAAGTACAGAGGAATATGCGAAAAAAGTGTCAGAAAAAGCAGCAGAAGTAGCAAAAATGGAACAAGATATTATAAATTTGAAAAACCATACTACTCAATATAAAGTACTGAAAGATGAAGAGATAAAACAAAAAGCCATGAAGACATATATGGATAGCGATGAGTATAAAAAAGAAGTTGAAGCAAATGTAAAGGCAGAAAAACTTTTACAGTTGCAAAACCAAACCGTACAGTATGAAAACTTAGCACAAGAAAGTAAAAATAACGACGCAGCCATGCAAAAGGCAATGAAAAGCGCAGAATATATAAAAGCTAATAATGACTGGTTAGATGCCCAAGCCAACGCTAAAGCAGCCCAACTTATAGGGTCAATAAGGACAAAAATACAAGCGGATGAAGACAGTTCAAATGAAGCTTTAATGAATGCTGACTTTAAGAATGCCTTCGAAGCTCTTCATAGTAAGGTGAAACTAGTGAACGACTTCTCATCTGGAAAGAAACTGAAGTCTGAAGGTTTCGACAACGAGTTAAGAGAAGTAGCACAAAATATGACGAAAATAACAGATGCAGCAACGAGACAGGCAGTTCAAAGTGCCTATGACGCCGTTAGAGCAACTGTTGTGGAAAGTCAAGAAAAAGAGTTACAACAGACCAAAACAGACCTAGTAAATGCTTTCTTAAGAACGAAAAGTCAGGTAGGACATTATGCTGCAGATGGAACATATGTGCCAGCTGGTGGAACTTATATACCACCAAACCCTCCAAGAGAAGCACCTGCACCAGGACTACCTAAAACATTTACATCGTCACATGGACACAGGCACAGGCATGCACCAAAACCAACACAACAACCAACAGTTCAAAATCCAGCACCACAACAACAACCAAAACCAACAGTTCAAAATCCAGCACAGCAACCAACAGTTCAAAACCCTGCACAGCAACAACAACCAACACAACAACCAACAGTTCAAAATCCAGCACAACAACAACCAAAACCAACACAGCAACCAACAGTTCAAAACCCTGCACAACAACAACCACAAACAGAGCAAGGACATAAAAGAAGTAGAGAAAAAGGAAACCAAGAATTCTTAAAAATGCTTAAGGAAGATTATGGTTACCCAGATACTCTTGACTTTAGTGACAGATATAAAGAAGCTATTAGAAAGTTCAAGGAAGGAAATACTGACCCGAACCTATTTAGCTTTATGGCTCAGCATCAAATCGGATATAATCTCAAACCTGGAAAATACAAGCTCGCTAAGGGATATGATTTAATAGCATATCATCCAAATGACATGAATGAATTTACTCCGAGATATTTGATGTCAGAGCTAAATGATAATTCAACTCTCTTCATGAAACGCGTAAAAAATAGAGACGGAACGAAAGAAGAAAGGTTTATGAGTCCGGATGACTTAGATAGGGAACTTGTTAAAAACGGTCTCGGAATATATGAAATGCCAGCAGATGAGGTACAAGAAACTCAACAGGAAGAAGTTCAGATACAACCAGTCATGGAAGAAATAGTTCAGCAACAACAGCTAGAAGAGCCTGAAGGAAACGAACAAATCCCTCCTTTGGAAACTAACTTCACAGAACTAGATGAAGATTTGGAACAGCCGAAAAATCTTGACCCTCAACAAGAGTATGAGGAGAATATGGAATCTTTCCAAGAGTCTAAGAAAAATTCGGCTGACATAGTAGAAGAATATCGAAAAATGTTCACCGACATACAAAAGACTCCAACATCAGATGAAAATATTCAGCATAGAATGGAAGTACTGAAAGAAAATGTACGCAAATACAATAATCCTTTTTACTTACGACCATATAACGTTCAATCTTTGGCTGAACTCGGTGAAAATAAAAGGTTTAATTTCAACAAAACATATAGAAATGAAACATTGTTTAAAGTTCATTCAGAACCTAACCATTATGGAAACAAAACTACTTTTGTTTCTGCAGACTATGGAACTACAATGAGATGGGGTCATAAAGCTAATCCGGATAGGTGGTTCATAAACTTACAACCTCAATTCCAAGAAGTTGTAGACGCAATGGAAGTGAATGGTGAACCAGATATAGCTGGTATTTTCAGCACGGCTTTAATGCCATTGAAATATATGAAAGATGCAGATATTTTGGACCAGTATGAAATGAACATGGCTGAGGGAAATATAACACCTGACGTTCTAGAACATTTATCTCAAAGAACTACACAGAACCATAGAGATGGTATATTTGGTGAAGAGTTTAGAAAGAGAGTTAGGGAGAGAGAAGGAAGAGAACCTATTGTATATGACCTTGCAAACGAAAGTTTGCAAAATGTCATAAAAACTTACTTTGCAGACAATGAACCGAGAAGGGATGAATATTTAAGAAAACTCAAATGGACAGTACCAAATGAAATGTTAGTATTGAAAAACATGTTCCATGACAAAATAAAACCAACTACAGAAATAAATGACGCAAGACTGAAACGTTGGGTAAAAGCTTTCCCATTCACAAAAGATATTATTGGTAACATGGAAAGAAAACCAGAATGGCTACAAAAACATATATTTGGAAACGAGCTTATTCCATATGGACAAGCTCTGTTTGAAGAGCTTGAACCGGAAACTCAGGAAAGAGTCATGCAAACAATACGCGAAGACTCAAATACAAACTATGACAAAATCTTTCTAGGATATAGGTTACCTGAGATGGGCGACCAGAGCCCAAAGGCAAAAAGGACATGGGAAATTTACAACATACTAGGTGAACATGAGGCAAAGATGCAACAACTTGAAGCAGAGGGCAAGTTACCAAAAGCGACACCAAAGAAGAAGAGTAGAACAAAGTGAAAGTAGTGAAGAAGTAACTTCATCTAGTGAAAGTAGTGGCAATGAAGGAAAAAGAAGAGTTAAAAACTCAGTCAGGAAGAAAGTAAAGCTTGGTACGAGTGGGTTCTATTATGACACATAAATCCAACTATTCTATATCTTTACCCATATGAAATGTACGCCGCTCAGAATATAACGCCAACAGTTTTGGATGCCATGAACGGAAATGTTTCCGAATGGTATAACGAATGCGACAATGCCATTAGAAGGTCAGAAATAGTTCCTGGAACTTACGAATATACAACTGCTGTTTCTTATGGAAACGTAGGGGAGTTTGGAGAAGGTTCTTCAACAACAGTAGATATTGCTTGCGACAGGTTTCATATTATTTCTATTGACAACTCTTTCTTATACGTGGAACAAGACATTGAAATAAAACTTTCTGCCAAGTTGTCTGACAAGAAAGTAGGGTTGTTAGATTCGCGACGATAGGTGTCTTGGAAGATTTGCCTGGTGTCATCATAGTGTCTTTAAATCAAAAATTTTATTTTGGAGTTAGTTTTATTGATTTTTCAATAAAAAACATTTCTAAAACAAGAAAATAAAACGATAAAATATTTATATTTTATATAAGGATCTTATATATTTAAAAAAATATCATTTTATTTTTTTCATTGGTGTCTGTCAAACCATAATACACTATTCAAAAATTCAATGTGTCTTGCGGTTTCAAAAGACACCTTCAAATTGAACGATAGCACAGACACTATTGAATTTTACCCATTGTATTTAGTTTTTACCCTTTTTATTTTTAAGAATTAATGACTGAAACAGCCGTTTTGCTATGACCTCAATCACTTTTATTTATTATTTTAAATATTATTTAATTTTATTATTTGAATAGGCCAACTTATATTTGAGAAGCTCAATTTGAGACCACTTAATACATTGAAATATCATAAATATTGAAATATTAAAAAGTGTATTTCAAAATATTGAAATTATAAAATTTATAATACTGAAATTGAGACAAATTAATAAATTCAATGTTTTTTTTTTGAAATAACTCTCAAATATTATTTTTTTGTTTATTTAATGATGAATAAATATGATTGCTTTAGTCAATCATAAAAACTAATTTAAGTTTAAAATAATGAAAGGATAATTTGATCGTTTTTTAAAATACAATTATTTTTGATGATTTGCAAGAATCTTTGAAAAGAATATAATATAGGTTCTATTTTTGTAAAATTTATCCAAATCATGTATTACATAAATTACGATTAAAACGATGAAAGAACCAAAAAGTGTGTTTTGTGTTTTGTTGTTGCGTGTTGGATGCGGGATCCTGTTATTTCCGAAATCGACAAAAAATTTGGAAATTTAATTTCCGAAATCGAAATTATATTAATGTTTTTAATATTCTTATATCAAAAGGATTAAAGTTCATTAAGAGAAAAACAATTCTTCTTCTTCAATCTATTGGCGCATTTATTTCTACACGCCAATAAGGAAGGGAAAATTATAAGACACCATGGTGTCTTCAAAACGCTAATTTTTGATATTTTTAACAACCCTACAAGAAAGGTTGCAATGGAATTTTCTATGTCGGATACCAATATGCTCCAGAAGTTTTCATGGGATATAAGATATATTCTAACTCTGACTTAGTTCAAACAGTAACATGGGCAAACTATGAATGGTTCGCTTTGAGAAACTCAGTACAACCACAAGCTAGAGAACAAACAGACCAGTATGCAACTATTGAGAAAATAAGAAGACTTGACCCTAACGTTCCAGGAGTTTATGTTAACCTTTCTGGACAAACTGCAGCAGCAGTAACCAAAGTAAAACTGAAACTTAGAGTTCCTTTGTCATCTTTCCTCATCTTCAGGTTTTTAAGATACTTGCCAAACTGGGCAGGAAAAATTTCTATTGAACTTACTCCAAGCAAAAATAACTTAGTCATTGCACCAACACAAGACCCATTCACTATTACAGACGTAAAGGGAACAAATCAAACGTCATTCGCCGAATTTTGCAAAGACAAAGTTGACTTAGACTTTGGTTTCTCAAACTTCAACAATGAAGTAAACTATTATTTCAATGCTGCTGGAACTGCTTGGGACCCAGTTAAGTTCACATGCGAAAAATTTGAATGCAAGAGAATAGAAAGCAGACTTGCAGTCTATATGTTGGACCCAGATATTTCAAATGCTTTAGCTGCCAAATATATTGCAGTTCCACTTATGTTCCCTATACACCAAATATCTGTCAAAGACTTTGCAGGTGAAGTTGGAAACCAAAATCCAGGAGCCGCAGGTGCAAGAACAGATATTGCTTTAACAACTGCAATGAAACATGCAGATACTATGTTTGTACTGTTCAGACGAACTATAAATGACTATTCTTGTTTCTACAACCCTGGTATTAAATATCATATAAACATAGATGGCAAATATTATCCAAGAGAAGAATATTCTACAGTTGAGGATATGAGGTCATACAACTTGACATTAGATGCTATGAACTTTAACAACAACTTCACAACAACCATTAACCCTGAAATGCAAAGTTCTATTATGCCATATGTGAAAGTATGGACTCATACAGGAGGTCAAAAAACTCAATATACAAATGGAGACCGTTCAAACTTTTGGCTTGGCATTCCATTTGCTGACTCAGAAGACTTTATGGGTGGTATTTCAACTGTTGGTACAGTTCAAATACAATATACTGGTGACAGAGACGGTCCAGATGAATTGAGAGCAAAGAAGTTTACAAAACCAATAGCACTTTTCACGGAAGATGCTCTTTTGAAGATTCGTTCGATGAAACCTGCTGGGGCTCCTCAGATTGGCATAACGACAGCTTCCATCGAGCAGATTTTGGCAGCAGGTCAGTAAGTTGTTCTTGAACTGACTTCTCTCCGTCAAATATTGACAGTACGCCAGTTTTGACATAATATTGTATTATAAACTTTCCTTTAGTAATATCTGTAAGTTTTGAAGTTATATTTTTGTCTGCTTCAAGAACTTTCACCATTTCAGTTATACCAACTTTCTTTGCTTTATGAAAATATTTAGGTTCAGCAAAGACTGCTATTCTATAACATTTTCCATTGTTTGTGTAAAGAACTATTCTGTCAATGTATTTGTATTGTTTGTGAGTATAAACTTTGTTCTGCTTCAATTCAATAAGATATCCGAATACGTCCATCTTTTTATTCTAAGTAAAATGTCATTTCCGAAAAATAGAAGCGTAAGTGTTTCAAAAGGTTTAATGGCGGTGGCAGATGTGAAGTTAAATTCACCAACTCAAACAAACAGTCAAAGTGTTGTTGTCAATGTCAAAGACAGAGATGTTGAAGTGGGGAAACCATACGAAGACGAAGATGGTATAACAATTGTTCCTGTAAAAGAACCAACATATCCTGAAGTTAACAGAGACTTAAGTTCTGTTGCAGATATTCGAAACGACTACCAACAACTGAAAGACAAACTTCAAACTCAGGAGAAGATTTGTCAAGCTTTAAGTATAATGTTAAATTGGTCGAACACAACCCTGTAAAAGTGAACTCATATGTCATTGCACCTCATGAAGTTTTGAAAGAACTATTGAAACTTTTGACAGAGGCAGACGATATAAACATCAAAGAAATAGAACCCGACATTGGTTGCTGTGGTGTTTCATATAATGTCATTGACAAGATATACGTTATGAAAGGAGGTGAAACGTTGAACTTAAAATATAGTTTCCCAGACGTTATAAAAATATTTGACGACCACAACATTTCATTAAAATTTATTTGCTAAGTAAATGGCAGAAGACATAATGGTTTATACTATTACGACTAAAAACCCTGAGTCATATAATTCTATAACAACAAACTTACAAAGTCCTCAAGGACGATATTGTAAACTAACCTTAAACACAATGACGACTAAAGCCTGTTTTGCTCTTTTGACACCAGAAGACTTTATTGTTGTGAATGGTAAAAAATACTCCTTTGAAGATACTTACTCAGATATACCACCAACAGGTTTTGTTGACTTATTTAATACTTTAAGTACGGGTGTAACATGTGCTGCAACTAGAGCAGGTTTCATTATGTTTGGATGTCCGACTGAGTTTACTATAAACGATATGAGCTATAATACAAAACTTATTTCTGGTTTTTACTACCAACAGTTTCCTATAACAGGAAAAGGTGTCATACAAGGAATGTCTATTCCATTGACATTAAGCACACCAATCTTATATATTGTTTCAAACTTAGGTTCAAAGTGTTATTCGAATGTCGACAGAAACTATTATGACCAAAAGATACTTATGCGTATAAACAATACTTTCTCTGCTGGTTTGCCTATTGTTCATTCGAATGCAGAATTTTCAACCTTAGTGAACTCAAACACTTTGGCAAGTATAACGTTGACATTAGTTGACGCAAACTTTGTTCCTGTAAAACTTTTATGTCCTATGTATTTGTCAATGACGGCAGAAAGTTTCGAATTGGAAGATGCAACTGGTGAAAGTATTGTATTACAAGAACAACTTCAACAACAAATAGCTCAAGAACAACAAATGCAACAAATGGAACAACAAAGTCAAGAATAAAAAAATATTATTTTTTTATTTTTATAAAAATGTACAGAATAGATGTTTCAGATTTTTATGACTTCCAAGCATTCAGAAATATGTGTCCATTTAGAGACTATAACAAAGCAGTCGAGAATTTGAAACGTTTAGTCATTTATGTTGACTCTGCCCCAGAATGTTATGTCATGAAAGAATGGGATGTTGTCTTTAACAAACCAAGAGCAACAATAGTGTCTGAACAAGAATGTAGACAGAAACTTAAGAAAATAAAAGTCGTACAAGTTGGAATGAAGATGTTAGATGCTTGGGATATCTTATTGTCAAAGTTAGAAGATTTTTCAGTTCGAGTATAAAGTTCTATACACCTTCTCCAAACTTCTATTCTATCTTCACTGGATATAAATACGAACAAGTAGAATGGAAAGAAAATTTATAGAAGCTTGGTTAGACCATGTCAAAGAAATTATATGCAATGGAAACGAAAAGTTATGAGTATATCTTATGTTGGTTTGCAAACATCTTACAACATCCAAGTGCTAAAAATGAAACTGCTCTCATTATAATTGGAAAACAAGGAACAGGTAAGAACACATTCTTTACAGATATCTTATGCAAACTGTTAGAAGGTTATTCGAACCCTAATATGACAAACTTAGAAAACATCTGTGGCAAGTTTAACTCCTCAATAGAGAATATGAAACTTATAGTTTGCAATGAACTTCAAAGTATAGATACAACAAAAGTTTTGAACTCAGATGCTTTGAAGAGTCTTATAACAGACAAAGTTGGAGTTGTTGAAAGAAAGTATAAAGACCAAAGAGTTTGTGAAAATGTTGCAAACTTCATTATGGTTTCAAACAATGCTGTTCCGATGAAGTTAGAAAGTTCTGACAGAAGATATGTAGTTGTCAGAACGTCAGATTCTCATATGCAAGATACAGAATATTTTGACGACTTAGCAGAAACTTTGACATCTGACTTTTACAACCACTTGTTCTCATATTTCATGACATTAGATATTTCTAAGTTCAATCCAAGACAAATTCCACATACCGAAGAGAGACAAACATTGTTAGAAGCAAACAAGAGTGTATATGAACTGTTCATAGAAGAAAGCGACTTTGAGTGTTTAGATGAAAAGTCTTTATATGATGAATATAAACAATATTGTCAAGAATATGGTTATATGGCAGCTTCTAAACGTACATTCTTGGCAAATGTCAAAAGTCTTTTAGACGTACAGAATGGTGTATATACAAAGAAAAATTTTTCTGAGTAAATTTTAAAAAAAATATTTTTTATCCGATAGAAAAGATGGCAAAATTCATCTCAGTAAATAAGTACATGTCAGAAGTTAAAGATAAGTAGCCCATTCACATATTTGAATGTTTACTTCTACCATTTTGAAAAGTCTTCATTCAGCAAAGTTTGGAACATCGAACCAGTTAAGTTTGCTATTGTGACTAAAAATGGTGCGAAATTTGAAGACTTAGACATAGAAGGTTTGTTAACAGTCAAAGAAAGTTTTGACAGAAGGTTCTCAAACCTTAAAGAAGGCAAAGCATACAAACTTGTTATACCTTATGAACCAAAGAAGACAGACGACTATGAATATTATGAGTCTAAAGTTGTAGAAGTTCAAGGTAAATTGGGTAAAAAGATTTTAGAGTCTAAGCCAGTGTTTACTCCTAAAGAGGAAGAGAACATTGACATTGACCCAGAAATGTTCTAAAAATAAAATTTTATTTTTACATGTCAAATTTCTTTTTCTCTGGAACTGGTTCAGGTTCTTTCTTCTCTTCTACTTTTTTCTCTTTCCTTTCTTTCTTCTTCTTTTCTGGTGGAGATATGTCAAATTTCTCAGAACCATATATCTGTAAAAGTTCTTTGTCCTTTAATAGCTCATCTATTCTGTTTTCTATTTCATCTTCAAGAACAGCGCATGTGTCTTCTTTGCATTCTAAGAACTTTTGTTGGACTTCATCTTTCCAATCGGCGTCATCTCTGTCAACAAGTCTGTCATTGACAAATTTTAAGACTGCTCTTTGTAATGTTTTATGGTTCTTGTCATATTCCCAGAAACAGAACTTTAGAACAAATTCACCTTTCTTGTTTACACTATGTAAGATTTTATGGTCGACAGATGTTTTGCTGTCAAAAAGTTTGTCTCGAATATAGATAGCGAAATCGCTAGACATTTTCTAAAAGATAAAAATTTTAATTTTTCTAAAAATATGTTAGAAAAAAAGTTTGCTGACATTGACAAAAAATTTGAGAATGTTTTAAACAAGAACAAGAGGAAGTTAGAAAATGCTCAGATAAAACCTATACATGGCAAGTTCTTATTTGCTCAGAATGGTATAACAGGTCTAATTGCACCACCTGGGTCGGGTAAGACTTTCACTTATCTTAAAATGGCTGCACAACAACAAGAACTAGATGAGAAGAACCCATTCTATGAGTTAGTTGTTATTTGTTCGACTTCTGGTCAATTTGACCAAACCGTCAATTCGTTCAAAGATATTATAAAGAAGTCTAAGTTAGTATGTATAAAGGATACTGAGTTGTTAGATTGGATAAAGAAGTACCAAAGAAGAGTTTTGAAGTATAATGCTATAAATGAGTATATAAATTCTAAGTTTAAAGAACCTAATGAGGAAATGCAGAGAATATTAGACAAACACACTTCAGAAACAAACAGAAAGAGATAGAATACATTTCGAAGAAATTGCAATCTTACGATTGGAAGACTTACCCTCATAGATGTCTTCTTATCTTAGATGATTTCGCCTCTCATCCTTTGTTAAAGAACAGAGAACAAGATATGTGTCGAATTCTTAAGAAGCTCAGACACTTTAACATTTCAGTCGTAATATGTGTACAGACAGCAAAGAGTTTAAGTAAGGATGTTAAAAGAATACTTACTGACATAATACTTTTCCCCGGATTGTCCGAAGACGATTTCATGGAACTTATGAAAGAGTCCATGGCAGGTAAGTTTGACAGACATGAACTATGGGAGAAGTACAAAGTCATACAAGACCCTCATACTTCTTTTAGAATTCATATCTACGCAAACAAAGTTCAAATTGTAAAAAGTCAAGCTTGAAAAATGTAAGTGTTTAGTCTTAGTAAGATGGTAGCTTCTTAAAGCATATGCCGTCCTTGAGTTTTAGGTATGTGAAGAGAAGTACAATGAATTCAATTACGAGTACAATTGCAATGACAACTAAGGCAACTATTTTTGTCTTTTGCCAGCAAGGGTACTTCTTCTCTTCCAATGGTTCGGCAGAACTATACTCACTCATGAGAAATGCCAAAACGGTTTAATAGAAAAAGTGTAATTTTTTTCATGTCCGAAGACTCGAAGGTGCAACACTTCCAAAATACCGACGAACTCAGAAGAGCAGCATGGCAGTATGTTCTTGACAACTTCTTTGAGTTCTCCAGGTACACCTTGGAAAATGCTGAAGAACTCCGACACAGAGAATTTGGAGAAATTGCACTCCAATACTACCTTGACAAACAAAGGGTAAATTAAGACTAAAAACTTAACGTTTAAAAAGTGACATTTTTATGAGCTCCGAGTCACCGAGAAAACTTGGTCAGATGTTAGCAGCTTACTTCCCTGAGGAGGATGGAAGCGTTACATACATCAGGTTCAAAAACAACGAACCTGGAATTGCGTACCAAATTCGCAATTACATGACCATGGAAGAGTATGAAAGATTTCTACAAGAGAAACCAGCTCTAAACAACCCAGAAAAGAAAGAGTAAAAAGTTTAATTCGTAATTGTTTATTTTTTTACTTGTAAGGGCAAGCTGCAAGTATGAAGTCGACTATCTCCGTCTTTGTTTTGACGAGCTGGACGGCTCTTGCAAGTACGTCTGTTTTGCGGTCTCCAGCTGGTGTCTGACCTTCGTAATTGCGCATGTTCTTGAGAGCTCCAACTGTAAATGGTTGTAGGATGAAGAGTCTCTCAGACTGCTTGAGGTAGTCTTCACGGTCACGAACCGAATCTGTGGTACGAGTCGAATCGGTCGATTTGAGGGAAGAGACTGAAAGCCTGTCGTCTTCCATTGGAGCTGTAGCATACTCTTTGCGTAAGCGGTTCAGACCTTCTTCGAAGTCTTGGTCTCTCTTCGATTGAGATTGGAATTGGAATTGCCGGGGTGGAGCTTGCTGGAACATCCATGGGTTGGGGAAGTAAGGCATAGGTTGAGGAGGGTAGTTCGGGAAGCCTTGTGGTGGGTAGTAACCTTGAGGTGGAAATTGGTAGTAATTCGGAGGTACTTGCTGGAACTGAGGTTGCTGAGGAGACTGTTGTGGTTCTTTAGGTTCCTCTGGTTTGGGAATGGACTCGGTTGGTGGAACGTCAGTCATCCGTTTGTGTCCTGTCGGACCACAACGATAAAAATCTCTGCTACTAGCAGTACTTTTACTGACAGTAGCAGTACTTTTTCTGACAGTAGCAGTACTTTTACTGACAGTAGCAGTACTTTATCGTCGAAAACCCTCTCAAATTTTCCTTTTTACTGACAGTAGCAGTACTTTTACTGACAGTAGCAGTACTTTTTCTGACAGTAGCAGTACTTTTTCTGACAGTAGCAGTACTTTTACTGACAGTAGCAATGGTCGAGGTCGAACCTACCGACGAGGCAATTTACCTAATTGAAATTAACGAGCTTGTTAAAGACTTCCTCAGGCAGAATGTAAAAGGCAAGCTTGTTAACGGTTGGATAACGGGAAGGGCTGCCTTGAATCTCGAGACTTCGACTGGAATTCCAATTCAAATACCAGACGGGACAGCCTTTGACGACATAAAGCAAGCAAAGAAGGAAGCCATTATAAAGTTCTTTGCCAAGCGTCCTTGGATACTACTTCCAAACAGAGAGAACCCTTTCCCAAGAATGAACCAAATTCTCAAGGGTCTCCTTCACTTCTCTGGTCAGCCGTTCTACATAACCTGTGAAGGCGACATTCAGCCAGTTCAGTAAACATCTCATTTTAACTCACTTTTTTTATGTTTTTACTCACACTCGTACTCACCAGGTATGAGTACAACTATTTCAACTGTGAACCTTGTATTGACCGGTCTTCCTGCAAATGCAAGTTCGGTCAATACACAGTTTATGGTGGCAAGAAAGACAGTGGGGAATGTTATTCTGACATCTGTTGTTGCGCTCGAGAGAGAATTGAAATTCCAGACCCAACTCCAACAAGAACTCTCAAGTTGCCAAAGACTCATGTGAAGAAGAAGCCTTCTGGTAAGTTTCTTATAGCCATATACATGGCACGTTTAGAGTAAAAACATTTTTTTCATTTTTTGAATGAAGCAAGTTAAATTCGTCCCACACCAAACTCAATGGACCGATGAAGAGTTTCAAGCTATGGTTGAAGGTGTTGAGAACGACATAGATGGCGAATTGAAGGAGCTCAAACCACAATTGCAACCAAAATTGCACAAGTCAAAGAAGAGATAGCTCCACTTAAAGCTACCAAAGCTACTCTTGACCTCATGGATACTTACCGTTTAGAAGTAAAGAGTGGAATAAGACAATTAAAATTGAAACTTCTAAACTACAAAGCTATACTCCAAAAGTTAGCAGAAATGAGAAGACTTTACCAGAGCTACTTACATGTAAGGGACTTACCTTCAAGCAGTCCGACCAAAGATGAATTTTCTGACATTGTCCCAATTTTGTCAGAAAGTCAGCTCAGATGTTTTGAACTGCTCCCAACATATCCAGAATATGAAAATTTGCCTGAACTCTTTCGGTTCCTCAAAAACGTTTTTGGTTCTCATGTTCGAAACTTTTATCGGAAGAGACAAACAAACGTTCAGAAGAAGACCAAGATATTATTTTAAACTTGTTGTATGACTTAACTGTCATAACCAGCTTTTTGAAGTAAAACCGTCATTCTCAAACCACTTCATTTTTTCGATGTCCGAACAAGCACCGAAGCCGAACACAATGGCAGATGTCCTTTCAAGGTTGCCAGACAAGCGCCCAATTCAAATTCAAATTGCCCAATTGAAAGCTCATCTGACAAACACCATTAAGACTCTCCAAAGTAGTCTTATGACAGAGATGACCAATCTCAAAGCCGATGTCCTCATGAACCAAGCTTCCAATGAGAAATGCCTGAACGATTTCGCGGAAACCTTGCGCAATTACGAGAGAGAGAACCGAGACCTTGCCAGACTCATCTACCGTTTCTTCGAAGAGATAGACGCCATCTGGAAGGTACTCGGAAAGGACAGAACATGCAACACCGTACTTCGTGAGTACCAAATTGAAGAAGGAATTGTCGAGAAGAAGAGGAAGAAGAGGAAGAAGAGAAACACGAAGCAGTTCCTGAAGCCGCTACATGGGCAACCCTTGTTGCCGATGACGGTTACGAAATTTCCCAACCCTACCCATACCAAATCCGCAACAAGGAGACAGGCAAGGTTCTTACCCCAGTCCTCAACAACTTGGGACACTTGAACCTTAACCTTCGGAATCGCGGTTCAATCTCCATGGGCAAGCTTGTCGCAATTCAATGGGTTCCAAATCCAGACAAGAAGACGAAGGTCAGACACATTGACGGTGACAAGCTCAACAACCGTAAGGAGAACCTCGAGTGGTTCTAAGAGTAAAAAAATTATTTTTAGGGGGAAACCCCAAGTAAATTTAAGTTTTTATTTTTGGTATTCGTACCAATCTTGGAATGTGAAGACCACATCCCAACCTCTGTACGTGAGTCTTGGGTCCACGTCTAAGACCCTTCTGTAGCAATTCCAAGCCCGAGCAAATTCAATTGTCAACCACTCGTCTCCGCTGTAGTCTTCAATCCATTCTTTGAAGAGACGGTCGAGTTCGGGCTTGGAATATCTCTTGCCTGGGTCCGAGACCAACATTTGGTTGAACTGGACGAAGCGCTCAGGGATGTACGCCATTAAAAAAATGTCACTTTTTAAAAAATAAATTTTTTATTTCATGCAATGTTTAACTATTTCACCATCTTCTTTAACACCCCAGTACTTACGCTTGGAGAGGGCATGAACTTCGGTGAAAATTTTGTCCAATTTGAATTGACCCATCTTTTCACCGACCATTTCCATTTCAATGAGTTTGTTGTATCCTTCTTCGTTCGTCATGAGTGCGTCAATGTTCTCATAGTAAACCTTGACTTTCGATTTGACTTCGGAGAAGAATTTGTTTTACTCGTCAAGGACTGCTTTTGCGAACTGAGGGTAAGACCAATGTTCGACAATAGGTTTTAATGTGGTTACTAAGCTACTTTGACCTTGAGTGAATTCGTACTTCAAAACAAAAGGAGAAAACCTTTCAACAAAGTTGTCGACCTTCTCATAATGTTTACTTTTCATCTCTTGAGGTTTCTTAATGGAATATCCCCATGTCGAATTCATAAGCAATTTGAGTGTCATTGCAAGTTTGGGGTTTGAAGCTTTCCTAATATCATACAGTTGTTGTATGACTTTTCCAACTGTATAGTTCCTTCCCGGGAACTCACCATCTTCGTTTGGAATTCCAGTCGGAATATATTGGACAAACCTCATGTATGCAGCGTTAAGGTCGACATAGTATATCTTTTCATCTGAGTCGAACTTGTCGCAACCAATTGGTCCAGTTTGTGGAAATTCAAGTGAGTCTCTTATCTTCTGAGAAACTTCTCCTGTTATCTCATAAACATCGTCGAAGCAACCTGTTTCATATAAAACCTTCTGACCTAACTCAGATGCTCTCCAATACAATTTGACGTCAATTGGATGTCTCAATGGAAGTTTATTTATAGCATCTTGAAGTTCTTGCAACCTCATTGGAAGTTCTTCTGGTTCAGGTTGGTATCCGAACATACCAACCCCTTGTGGAACTGTGTACTTCTTTTGTACTAGAACTTTGTCTGGAACAACTTTTGGTCTTGCTAACAATGAAAAGTTTGTTTCGTCTTTTGGTACAAAAGTTTCTGTCAGCTTGTCATCTGGAATTGGTTCCAACAAACCTTTCTCGAAAAGAATGTTTACAGTTCTGACAATGTTGCACTTACTTTTACCAAAGAATGGGTTTGTAAGACTTTCGTTCAACATGAAGTGGTTGTGGACAATTACAATCTTCAACCATGGTAAGTCTTTGTCAACAACATAGTCGTCATGTGAAGAACCTTTAGCTGTAGGTATGTTGACTCGGATATTGACATTTGCCAACGGTGCAATTTTTGCCAATTGACCTCTGAGAATGTACCTTGTCTTCACACATGACTCAAGATACTTCATCTTCTCATCTGTAACAAGACCAGAGTTCCTGAGACATGTAAGAATACAAGGTTCATTGACAATTGTTTCAATTGAATTGTAAATTCCATACCTTGTCAAGTCAATGTCAGACTTATTTATGAAGGGGAAGTATCCAGCATGTTGTCTGACTGCTTGAGGGTTAGGTTGGTACCATTCGAACTTGACACTTGCAATTCCTTCAATTGCATTCAAAATGTCTGAGTCGGAGTCAAACATTTGTTCTCTCTTTGTAGTCTTGAAAGCGTCAAGAAGTTTTGCGGCTGTTTGTTCATTGCCATGTGCATAGTAAATGGACCATCCAAATCTGTTATGGTCAATCTGAGATTGTGTCCTTTCTTATTTCCGTCTTGAATTGCAGCAAGTACTCCCATGAAGCCTTCTTTGTTCTTTCCTTCGTCAAAGTTTACTGTAAAGGTTCGACCAGATGTAATTTGACTTCTAACTTCACGATACTTTTCATATGCATATCTTGTTCTTTCCATGGGAGCATGTGCGTCTTCACCTTTTCCTTTTTTCCTTCTCAAAGGATGCAATTGTTCGTCATGTTTCCAGTAGAATCTGGCAAAGCCGTCGTGTCCTTCAACTTGAGGTTCACTAACATCGAAAGGCATGTCCATAAGACGTTCTTCTTCTAACCTCTCTAGTCTGTTTGGATAATTGGCACGTGCTGTTTCCAAATCCATTTCGTAGCGAAGACCAGACAATTTGTCATAGACTTTTATGGGTCTTCCCTTCCTATATTTAAAATTCTTCGAAACTCTCCAACCATATCTTTGTAACTCTGCTTTTATTCTAGCAGACTTTCTATCCATTCTATATGGGGCATTTTTATAAAAATAAAAAATTTTTTTTTCTTTACTTTACATAACCGCCTGCTGCCATAAGTCTTTGACGCCAAACCCATACCAGCTAATGAAGGTTGACTTGGTTTAGTTTGGAAACTAAACTTTGGTTTTGGTTTATCTTCAGTTTTTGGTTTTTCTTCTTCTATCGGTTTTTCGTCACTTTTCGGTTCCTCTGACTTTACTTCACTTGCAGGAACAGTTGTGTCGTCAACATCTTCATAAATATCATATGCCATTTGTTTTTGTTTTCCTTTCAACTTTTTGTGTTTGTTGTAAAGTTTAGAATATTTCGACTCTAAGTCAATGAGATGTTCTATAATGAACTGTTGGTCAGTGAAGTAAACTTTTCCATCTGTTGTCCCGAAAGCTCCTTCAGACTTCAATATTTTATTTGTGAGAGTCTGTTTCTTTTTTGAGATACTAGCCGTTCCATTCTCTATGAAAAGTGACTTTATAGTTAGGGTTTGTATTTCCAGACCTGGCACTTTCTATTATTGAATTTTTCTCTTCATCTGTAAGTTCTTTGACAGGTTTTGACAATGGTTCTGAACTTTTTGTTTGTGGTGTCAAATCTACCGTTTCAACTTCTTCGGTCATTTCATCTCAGTAAAAAATTTTAGTTTGGTTTGTTTTCAACTGGTTGTTGTTGTGGAGGTGGGATGGTTCCTTTAATAATATCATTCAGTTTCACATGCTGAGCCTGACTATATGGTATCGGTTTAAATGCTGGAAGCCGACAAATCCATCTTGAACTCATTTGTCTCAATGCTGCATTGTTCTCATTTCATAAAAAACTTTACATTCCCCACGTTTGAGGCGGTTGAGGTTGGTTATTGTTTACCCACTGTTGTGCATGGTTATATCCTCTGTTAAAGAATCTTTCACCTTGGTCCATATAGTGTCCTGCTTGGTTATAGTAGTCATTTGCTTTGTTATAATAGTTTCCTGCTTGTCTTCCTACATTGTCCATCCATCCTTGAACTTTTCCTCTTGTTTCAGGATTTGGAATAAGATTTGTTGCATCTCGTGCTACATCCCAACCTTTCTGTACAGTTTGTATAATAGGTTGTGCTTTCTCTTTAAGTATACCTAATGTACTCAAAATCTTCCTTCCAACTCCAAATACACCTCTGGCTATTGTTCCCACTGCGGGTAAAAATCTGGATGCAACTCCTGCTAATGCGCCAAATAAACCCATTTCTTATAGGGTAAAAAATGACGAATCCGAACAAGGACCCCTATGTTTCTAAAGCGACAAAGAAAGCACTCATGATAAAAATCTTTAGTTCAACACCAAATGCTTGGTTTATGGATATCTTGGAAAAAATTCCGAGGTATAGAGAAGATGGACCACCATACTGGTTAATATTTGTTGGTCAAAACACAAGATACTGTGAAGCCATACCATTACAGTCCAAAGCTATTTTAGATATCTTAGCAGCTTTGACAATATTCGTTGACAAATACCATCCAACAAAACTGACATCTGACTGTGAAAGTTCTTTCAAATCAGATGATGTAAAAAACTATCTGTGTTCAAAAAATGTAAACCAATATTTCATTGTCGACCAAAACCATTCTGCTCTTGGTGTCATTGACGGTTGTATAAAAATGTTAAGAGACTTAAACCAACCACAAGGTGGTGAAGCAAATGAAATGTCATATGACGACAAGTATAGACACTTCTCCATGGCAAAGATGAGACAAGTTTTAAATATTTACAATAACCGTAAACAAAAAGGTTTGGGAAACCACTCCCCCGAAGAAATGAAAAACAACCCTGACTTAGAGAAAGACTATATATTTAATAATTTAGTCAAAAGAGACAAACAAGAAAGAATGCCGGGCTTCAAACTTCAGAAAGGTGACAAAGTAAAAATAGAAATACCTAAACGCGACCCATATGAAAATACTATTGACTATGACAACAATGGGAACTCGACAGGTACTCACATTCGTGTTCGTAAAAATAGAAGAAAGTATACAAGAGAATATTATGAAGTTTTAGGCAAACATGGCAAAATGTACACACTGCAAGCAGAAGATAAAACTACTATTGTCAGACCTCGTTTCAAACTTGTCAAAGTTCAAGGTGGTATACTTTCAAAGACAGTTCCTAACAAATATAAGACAACTCCTGACGAATATGCTAAAGAAGTTGAAAATGACGACTAAGCAATTCTATACCATGCGTAAACTGTCATGTAAGGTGGCATGTATTCTTTACTTTGTCCCGTTGTTTGCGTATATCCTGAAACGAAATGTGTATGGTTTCCTTCTCCCTGTGTGTCATCCCAGTAACAATTTATAGCAAATTTAACGTCGTCTTTAACATCATATCCTTTACCTTTTGTCATTCCTGACCAATCCCAATATCTATGCTTATGCCAACCTGCTTGAGATGTACTTAAATCTATGTAGTGACTGTGTGCAGGTAAATTTTCACCTGAAATCGTTTTACTTCCACCTGTTTCCTTTGAAGAGTTTGCACAATACAAAAACCTGTCGACTATTTGTTCCCATGCACCAACACCAAACATTACTTGAGGACCTCTTGCATCCATAGATGTATAAATAGAACCTACTGGGTTCATTAAATCAAACATATGAGATATTATAGGATTGTCTTTTTGAACTTAAAATATAGTGCAGCTATTTCAGGTTTCTCCTGGTTTGTGTGTCAGAATATTTTTTATAATATAATCTTATGTTTTCAGGGTAGATAAAATCTTGACTATAATATTTATTTCTGTCATCTGTATAATAATATACTATTCTCGTTTTTTCTATTGCATTATATCTTTTATATCTATAATAATCTAAATATAATGTTAGCTTTTGTTCATCTACATGTGGTGTTCTGTCGTCATCTCCATAGTCATAATAATGTGGTGCCGGAGCTGGGTCAGGCAATGTCATATCTGCCATTTCATAAACTCTTAAATATTTCTTTTGTTCGTCTCCATATAAGTTTAAGTAGCAGTTGTTGTCTAATGGAACTTTAACTTGTGTACCATCATTCTTTTTATAGCTTACATACATTTCATTGTTATTTTTCGGAATGAGTTTATGCCGTGTACCATTTTCTAAGGACTGTACCAACTGCCATCTAAAATATTTATTTTCTTCATTGACAGAAAAGTCACCAACAATAGTTTCAATATTTTTTGTTCCTATCAAACTTTGGTATATTTCATTGACATATGTTTTATCTGCTTTCTTTTCAAGGCTAACGTTTAAGTCTGTTATTTCAGATATAGAATGTGTATGTCCAACGTCACTTTTACTGTTTAAGGTTTCTTGTAAGTTTGTAATATTTGCAATGGTATGTGTATGTCCAACGTCACTTTTCCTGTTTAAGGTTTCTTGTAAGTTTGTAATATTTGCAATGGTATGTGTATGTCCAACGTCACTTTTACTGTTTAAGGTTTCTTGTAAGTTTGTAATATCAGATATAGAATGTGTATGAGTCTTATCTGCTTTTGTCTCTAATGTTTCCTTAAGACTTGGTATTTGGTTAATATAATGTATATGAGTCTCTTTAGAATATTCGTTTTCAGCTCTTGTCACTTCACTTGACATTTTATTGTCAACATATGTTTTGTCTGCTAGTTCAGGATGAGTATGTTCTTTTGTTGCATAAGCATTGTTAGCTCTTTCTTCTTCTTTTGCTATTGCATCGTCTACATATTCTTTGTCAGCTTTGTTGTTGTCAACATCTGCTTTCAAAAGAAGTTCATTTATAGGTTTCTCGTTTAAAGTTCCTTTTGTTGGATTTATACAGACAGTATTGTTCTTATTGTCTTGAAACAGAAACTCATCTGTCATTGGGTTTATTGTCAGTTTTAAGTCACCCCCTTTCAATGACTCAGATATCTTAGAATAGTTTGAAAAGTTTGTTGTGTTCTTATTTAGAGCTTGCATAATGAGTTGTCGGTTGTGTTGTATTTCTCTCATAGACGCTGTTTCATTTGACATTTTTATTATAGATAAAATATGCTTCCAATAGAAAAAGAAAATTCTAGAGTTGCTACAACTAAACCATTAGATGAACTTTTTACTAATGTCGGTCAAAAGTTTGAGACAGATACCGTAAAGCATGAAGGCTATCGTTTTGACTACCCATTAAGATGG